TGCTGGGAGGGCCATGTGGTGGGGAAATCAGACACTGTAATGACAGAAGCCCTCAAACTGGAGTATCCACTATGTGCTGGGTACTGTCTAAGCACTTTACATATTTTAATGTATTAAATCCTCACAACCCCATGAGAAAGGTACTATTAACATGATTTATAGATTTGCACACCAAAGTTGGCTCCTAAAGTAACACTAAATGAATATTTAAAACATTTTTATATTTTAAATGTAAAAAGTTTGGTTTTTAAGATATTATAAACTGCATTCTAGCACAGAATCTTTAATGTATAAAATTTCACAAAGCTCTTCTAAATGGCTGTCAAAATCAATCCCCGAGAATTCCAACTGCGAGGCTATTTCGTTTTAATTTGGAAGATGTTTGCTATTTTGATGTGGTTCAGAGTCGTCTGAAGAAGGTAGGTCAGAGAACTTGAAATATTTAGATAAAGGAACCATCTAGGCCTAAAGCAACACCCTAGATCCTTCAGAACCTGCCAAGGCAAAAATAAAGTGTTTTGAGAGGTTTCATGAGGTCTACTGACATATACATCAGGATAAGCAACAAAAATCAGAAGCACTTGAGCAGTGTTTTGCTATCTGCACTGTAAGAAATAAACCCCAGCATTTTCAAGGAACCAGAATTCATAGGAACATTGGCTCCTCATCTGACCCATAAAGCCAAGGAAGAGCACAGCCAATTTGAGAAGCATGATGGCAGAATCTCAGTGACTTGTTGTCATGTACTGTCACCCTGATGGTTTTTCATGATGTAGTGCTCCTTGTCCGTCTCTCCTGAGATCTTAATATTGTCTCCACTGAATTACCATTGGTTCTTTCGCTCATTCTACCATTATAATCACCTGTGCCTACAACTCTGTATTGTTTGTCATTACTATTTCCAGAATGAGTCCTAATAACATAATAAAAACAAAATAGAAAATAGTCCCACTTTTGAATAATGACAATATATGCATCCTCAGTGTTTCACTTGTATGAAGTCCCAGACTTAATATGTTCTTACAGGCACATGAAAAAGCATGACATTATCTTTTTTTTTTTGGAGAAAGAGTCTCGCTTTGTCACCCAGACTGGAGTGCAGTGGCATGATCTCAGCTCACTGCAACCTCCACCTTCTAGGTTCAAGTGATTCTCCTGCCTAAGCCTCCTGAGTAGATGGGACTACAGGCGCACGCCACCGTGCCTAATTTTTTGTACTTTTAGTAGAGATGGGGTTTCACCATGTTAGCCAGGATGGTCTCAATCTCTGGACCTTGTGACCCGCCCACGTCGGAATCCCAAAATGCTGGAATTACAGGCGTGAACCTCCGCACTCAGCCGACATTATTTTCTTTCTCTTTTTCCCTTTTTTGAGATGGGGGTCTCACTCTGCTATACAGGCTGCAGTGCAGTGACACAATCATAGCTCACTACAGCCTGGAACTCCTGAGATGAAGTAATCCTCTTAACTAAGCCTCCTGAGAAACTAGGTCTACAGCTGCACACTACTACACTCAGCTAATTAATTTTTTTTTTTTTTTCTTTTGTAGAGATGAGGCGCTGGTCTTGAACTCCTGGCCTCAAGTGATCCTACCACCTCAGCCTCCCAAAGTGCTAGGATTACAAACGTGAGGCACCACACCTGGCCAATACTGTATTTGTTCATAAGATGAGGTATGTTCTTTCACATATTCTTTCATATATTCTTTTTAATTTAGAATGTCATGAGGGACATGTGTATTCCTGCAGTCCTTCTCAGGAAAAACTTTTAAAATCTTCCTAAAGTATTACCCTGAGAACACAATAAAGAATATTGTTACTTTCACCTGTAGAAGTAAAAATGCACAAGTACTGTGTAAGTCCTAATTAACCCAGGAAAATCCAATTTTTTTTTATTACATGAATTCATTTTACACTAGTTTAAATTGTAAAATTGGAAGATGACAAGAGTCAGTTCTACTTCGAAGTTTTCAAACTACATTTGTTGTTTGTATATCTGAAACCGTATTTGCTGTTTCATGATCCACAATCACCTCACCAGGTTTTACTGTTTTTGTATATAAAAAACGAAGTATGAAGGTGATAGAACAAAAGTAAATCCACAATTATCCACTCAGTAACACTGCTCCTACATAATCAATTGGGAAGCAAAATGAAAAACACTTCAGTCTTAATTTTTCAGCCTCTACTAATTATGGCTTCTTAGCTAGCAGTTTATCTTCAGATTCTTAAGACTGTCATAAAATATCACATATGAAAATTAATGATGGCCAGGCATGGTGGCTCGTGCCTATAATCCCTAAACTTTGGGAGGTTGAAGTGGGAGGATCACTTGAGGTCAGGAGTTGAAGACCAGCCTGGCCAATATGGTGAAACCCCATCTCTATTAAAAATACAAAAATTAGCCGGGCATGGTGACATCTGCCTGTAATCTCAGCTACTTGGGAAACTGAGGCAGGAGAATGGCTTGAACCCGGGAGGTGGAGGCTGCAGTAAGCCCTGATTACGCCACTGCACTTCAGCCTCTGTGACAAAGCAAGACTCCATCTCAAAAAAAAAAATTAATGATTATACCAACCCCTTAAAAATGTTAATGAATATTAGCCTTTCATTAGTGAAAAATAGATTAGTCATCAGATTTCAAATGCAGGTTTCATTATTTGAAAAACAACAAAACTAAGAAACTAGAGAATATAAATAATCCTTACTAGATAATTACCATCATTAGATTTTAAAAGGAAAGTACAAAATAAAGTATCACTATATGAAACTTTAGTGTTTTCACCTCAATATACTAAATCTTCATTTTAGGCTAAAAATCTTTATCATTCCTATTTTCCATAAGATAATTTTTACTTGCAATTCCTTTAAGTCTATCATAATTATAGATTCAAAATCTTTTATGTCACATGAAGTACAGATCAACTGGCTACTTAACAAAATTGCAGTTGCTGGATGGCCTGTAATCAGACTGGCAACTTCAAATTGCTGGTCACCTTTGTATGAGTAAGGTCCAAGATTTGTGTTGACCACACATTGACGAGACCCAGGTGTAGGGCCTATGGAATATGAGTGGTGGACTGGTTTGTGGGTTTGAGGGTCTGGGTAGGAGAGTATAAATTCTTCTTTGTGCAAAGTGTGGGAGTACAACACTGAAGACAGGCTTAGTCTATGTATGGCCTCCCCCACTACCTCTTCAACTGAAGCTGGAGAGAATGGTCATTTTTTTAATGTTATGGTATATGCCAATATAATTGCATTAAATAAAAACAATAAGGGAACTAACTAAAACAAACAAAAAATGCTGTAAGCTGGGCCTTGGTATATCTGAGTTCTGCTACAACCTGAATGCCAACATTCTCTGAGACTTTGAACAATTCACTTATCCTGTGCCTTAGTTTCTTCATTTAAAATGAAGAAAATAAGGGCTGGCCACAATAGCCTATGCTTCTAATTCCAGCACTTTGGGAGGCCAAGGCAGGAGTATCGTTTGAGGCCAATAGTCTGAGATCATCCTGGGCAACATAGCGAGACTCTATCTCTACAATAGTTTTTGTTTTTTTTGTTTGTTTGGGTTTTTTTTTTGTTGTTTTTTGGGCTTTTTTATTAGCCAGGTATGGTAGTACATACCTATGGTCCTAGCTACTTGGGGACCTGAGGAAGGAGGATCACTTGAGCTCAAGTTATGGGGAGAAATGCCAGATATAGGTGACAGGGGGATGGAGGCAGCAAACCACCTCGCCATGTATGTACCTATGCAACAATCGTCATGATTTGCACATGTACCCCAGAACCTAAAGTACAATTAAAAAAAAAAGTTATAGGGAGCTATTATTGTGCCACTGCATCTCAGCCTGGGCCCCAAAGAAAGACTTTCTCTCAATTGATCAATCAAAGAAAATAAGACAGTCCTGCCCCATCTCACTGCTATTGTAATAAAAGTGACATAATATGTGAATAAGGCACTTAGAGCTATAAAGAGGTTTTTTTTTTTTTAATGCAAGAAACTATTATAAATATTTATAGTGTTCTGGTACTATACTGTCAATGGACACAAAAGATCTAAGGTTCATACAGCTTCTTACAGATGAAACACGCATGGCACTTTGCTCACTAATAAGAATAAATCAGTCTGATCCAAATAGCACAGTTTTAGTTTTTATTAGATGACTAGAACTCTGTAAATATTTAGTAATTGGTAAAGGAAGGTTAAGTATATTTTAACTCTTAATTCCAAATAAAGACAATGCAATAAATTTAAAATATAGATATGTTTATAAGCAGAATATATCACATAACTGTAGATACCAACCTATTTTTTATGAATATGGCAGGATAAAATTGGTATTTCTCTCTTTCCATTTGAAAAATATTCCAAAAGCAACACAAGGAATGAAAAACGGTAACCCCATTTTGAAAGAAACTAGGAGACAAACCACAAAACAAGTAAAAAGCCTGCCAAAAGCAATGGAGATGAAATAGGAATGTATGGTGTAGGCAGCATAGAAAGAATGCTCCAGTTGCAAATGGCAGAAAAAACAAAGTCTACTTCTTGAAGTTGATGGGAACACTTTAAGGTATAAAACCCTTGTTTATATCAAAGTGCACAGGATGACAGCTAGAGATTTCCTAAATGTGGTTTGGTTCCAAGAAGCAGGAGAACAATGCTAAGTAAGGAATCACACTAACTATATTTGCAGAGAGAAATCTGTCTCTGTGGCTACACGAGACAAAAGACTTTGTACCACAGAACTCCCCAAAGTTGTCTATCTCCATTGGCTGGGACACAATAAAAGATAAACAGAATTTTTTAAATCTACAGCCAAAACAGAACTTTCACAAGAAAACTGTTGGTATAGAACTGATAAAAATCATGACAAATACTCCACCATTAATGAAACTATGCAATCAACTCTAATTTGAAGTTTTTAAAAATATATAATTATAAACTTGTATTGACTAGAATAATAATGAATAAACTCATATAATCAATCTCTTACCTCTGATTGATATTTTATTTTTTCTTCTTCTAAAATACGTGCAAACTCTTCCTTCTGGTGTTCAAATTCTGACTTCACAAATGTATGTTCATAGCGAAGCTTATTATATACAGCTCTATACTTTTCCACCTCCTAAATTAAAGGAAGAATGCAATTTATCACAGATTTATAAACAAAATTTGCACTCACTCCAATAATCACTTTTACAAATATAATTTTAAATTACATTATAGTGACAGCAATTCTAAAAGTAAAAAATAAATTTATCAGAAATAAAAATGAATTTGGAAAAGTCCTCGTAACAAGTATTACACATATGGAATTAGTACATTCCTGAAAAGATACCAAAAAAGTAAATTACCATTCAATTAATCTTATTTCTTCATTGGTTCTCATTATAATAAAAGTGTATATTATGAGGAAAGTGTTGATCTCTGGGCTTAAATAAACAAACATGTAAGAATGTTGCACACCTTTCAAAAAACAGCTAGATTTTAAAAATGTATAAGTTAGTGTAAGTCAAACAAATTCAAGAGATAAAAGGTTATTTTAATATTTAGTACAGCATCTTAACATCTAATTAAATATTACAATGATAGTTCAACTCAACGCACCAACCTGAAGAAAACATGCAGCAACATCTCTACTAACTAACCAGGAACACAAGCAATTCCCTGATGTGCTCTCATCCTGCTTCCTAACAGTACTCTATGAAAGCCGCTGGCATTCTGAATACTCAATAAGAAACTCAGGCAACAGAGCAGAAAGATACAGGAGACACTAACAGGAAATTAGATAACAAGGAAAGCATGTCTCCTAAAATAATACCCAGTTCACCATAAATCTTTAGTTGAAAGACTTCTAAGCCGGATTATAAACCAAGAAGATGGATTTCATGATTTTACTACAGATATACTTTGCTATGATTTAAAAAAAAAAAAAAAAAAAAAACTTTTATTGAACTTGATCACTTATCTTGGGTCTGAATAATTTTGTTTATTTACAAAAATTAAATCTACTCCCAAACCGTAATGGCTTGCTACCAGGAATGTACTGGAAAGATCATATTATCAAACCAATAAGCCATTATAAAAGAGGATTCTACAGCTGTTTTGGGCAATGACCACATCACTTGACTATAGCTCTCCAAAGGGGCCCATTTTGAAGGGGACAATAATCATTTGTATGTATAAGGCCAGGTATATTTGTTAAATAAGGTAACATATATAAAATGTCTAGCAATTGTCTAATGTACTTTTTTTTTTTGGAGACACAGCCTCACTCTATCACCAGGCTGGAGTGCTGTGGCGCAATCCCAGCTCACTGCAACTTCCATTTTTCAGTTTCAAGCAATTCTCCTGCCTCAGCCTCCCGAGTAGCTGGGACTACAGGCACGCACCACCACACTGGCTAATTTTTTTGTATTTTTAGTAGAGATGGAGTTTCACCATGTTGGCTAGGATGGTCTCGGTCTCGTGACCTTGTGATCTGCCCACCTCAGCCTCCCAAACTGCTGGGATTACAGGCGTGAGCCACCGTGCCCGGCCTAATATACTTATTATCTGCAGTCTTATCCTGTCCCCTTTATTAAGCATTCAGTCACGTTACATCAACACTTCGCTAAAGGAGATTAGTCTCAGCCTGAAGTAAAACCGTAACAGATTTTTATTTTTATGAAGTGGCACGAAACTCATTCTCTCATTCAACAAATATTGAGCACCTACTGTATACCAAAATCTGTTCTAGGAATTTGGAATATAACAATTAAGAAAACAGGTAAAGGTTCCTCCTCTCATGCAACTTCCATTCTAGAGGTGGTAAAACAGAAAATAAACACAATAAATAAGTAAATGATATAGCATAGAAGGTATGTATCATAAAAAAATTAAAAATAGAGCAAGATAAGGGGGATCTAAAGGTCTAAGCAATAATGGGAAAGGCAGGTTGCAATATTAAATAGGTAGATTGGGAGCAGTCAAAGTAGTCCCCATTGAGAAAGTGAAATTTTAGCAAAGTCTTAGAAGAGATGGTTAGCCGCGACATATCTGGAGAGAGAGTACTCAAGGCAAAAGAGATGCACCAATTCGGCTGGAGGCGGTGGCTCACGCCTGTAATCCCACCACTTTGGGAGGCCAAGGCAGGCAGATCACTTGAGGTCAGGAGTTTGAAATCAGTCTGGCTAACATCGTGAAACCCCATTTCTCCTAAAAGTACAAAAATTAGCCAAGCATGGTGGTACGCCTGCAATCCCAGCTACTCAGGAGGCTGAGGCAGGAGAATCGCTTGAACTCGGGAGGCAGAGGTTGCAGTGAGCCAAGATTGCGCCACTGCACTCCAGGCTGGGCAAAAGAGCCAGGCTCTGTCTCAAAATATATTTTTTTAATTATTTAAAAAATAAAAAATAAAAGCAAAAAAGAAATGCACCAATTCTGGAGTGCCAAAGAAATATCAGTAAGCCAATGTGAAAAAAGGAAAAGAGATCAGAGAAGTAATAGGAGTCCAATCCTGTGAAGCCTTAGAGGCCACTGTAATGACTGAGTTAAAAGGGGAACTACTGCAGGGTTTTGGGTTAGGGAAATGATGCTTTTCATCAAGACTTTGATCCCAAGAGGATAAATGCATAGTAAACAACATAAGTTACTTACTTCATCCAGAGTCCGAAAACGTTCTCTCATTGGAGTTTCTAATTCTTGTTGTATTTGGGCTCTTAGCAATTCCAATTTTTGTGGAGTTAATATCTAGTATGTAGAGAAATGCAAACAATTCCAAATATAAAATCATATTAAAATCAATAATTCTCCATATTTCAAAGCCTCTCTTCTAATTATGACAATGGAATTCATGAAAGTTTTCACAATATAGTTATTTTTACAGTGATCACTATACAAATAGAGTCATCATTTGAAATAACACTTTAAGAATCTCAATTGCAAGCTCTCAGAGATGTCAAAAATTACATTAACATGAAGTGAAGACAGTTACAGATTATCATTGCTATTGTTGGGAATAACTATGTTGGCAGCTAAGGCTATCATGCTGTAAACAATGGCTGGTAGTCCAGTTATTTTACCAAGCAGGCAAAATAAAGGTGTAACAATTTGTTATGCCAAAGAGAACCTTTCAGACTTATTTTCAGTTAGAAAAGGCTCATTTTTACTCTCACACTGAACCTAATTTAGGCTTCTCTTTGTCACACTCTCTTTTAGAACTCATAATTTAATGAACAAAAAAATATTTATGTAAGTCCCACATGGGAAGACACAGTCTTTATTCACCACTGTATACCCAATATCTATCACCAATGTCTGGCACATAGGAACCACTCAATTACTATTTCATGAATGAATGAAAAAAAAAATCTAAAAGTTTGTATTTATATTAATTTCTATAAAAATCATAATGTTCTATTTTATAATAGTCCAAATATTATATTCACAATATTACATTTTACTGAATGACAGCTTACTATAAAGCATTATACAATGCACTGTAACCTACATACCATCCTGTTTTAAGCACCTTACATGCATTAATTAATTCCTACAACAATCCCACAAGGTAGCTACACTGAGGCATACAAGGTGTTCAAATAACTTTATAAAGATCACAAAAACTCACATGATGCATATATCTCCCCATAAAAATTTCAAACTCTGGTATTAAAAATAACTGATATACACAAATAACTATAAAAGTAGGCAATACAGGCTTACTAGACAGGTAAAAAAGAGAAAACACATTTAGAATAGAAAGAATGACGCATCAAAGGAATGGGAAAACTAAAACTTACATAGAACCCAAACTCAAGCCAATTAACATTTTAATTTACCTGGGTGTCAGAGGCTGTATGAGAGAAAAGGGATTCTCAAAGGTGAGTTAAAGCCATTTTGCATGGGACCACATTAAGTACCACAGAAAATTTAAAATTGCGGGTCCCTACGTTCACACTGGTAGAAATCTCTAAACACTGTAACATTTCTAAATGCAACCTTGGAGGGTTACACCCTGGCTGGGAACAAAAGGAAAACAGGTCGCAGCCAGAGTGAAAAGTTCCTGAATACCAGGTTTAGACTCTTATTATTTATTCAGTATTCAATAGTATTTAATTTGAAAATTTATTTTGTTTAAAATTAATATATATAATTACATAAATAAAACAGTTCAAACAAAACAAAAGATTAAAAAGTCTTCTCACTTCAGTAATTTTCTTTCTATTAAAGCAATCATTGTTAATAACTTCTTATGTACCCTTCTAAAACAATCTATAGATACACAAGCATATATATCAGCTTTGATTTTCACACAAAAAGGATATTGTACATATATTTTTCTATACCTTATTTATTGAAGGTTTTTAAGCTTAAGAGTGACACTATGATATCTATATTTCACAAAGAAGCAAGATGAATCAAAAGCTTTAGTGAATGAAGCCAAAGAAATGAGATAGAAAGCTCATGTCATAATGTGGTTTATGGTATCAATTCTGGGTGACAGTATCAAGAGTCCAAACTAAGATGAGGTAGCAATTCAAAGGAAGAGATTAATAGGTAAAGCTTATTTGGTTCCTGTTTCAAATGATCTAACTTCAAAAATAAGGAAGCAAAATCATGGGAAAATTAAGAAAATCTGAACAAAGATGGAATAGTAAAAGGTATTAAGGAATAAGTATTTTAAATATAGTAAAGGTATTATGGTTATGTTTCTAAGAGAGGCTGCACTGGTTTGTTATAGAGATATACACTCAATTATTTGTTGAAATAATATAAAAACAATCCAGAGACATTGAGGAAAAAAGTGGGGGTGGGTGGGAGAAAGTAGTAGATAAAACAAGCCTGGCTCAGAGAGAATAATTATTGATGCTGGATGACAGGTACGTGGGGATGTGTTACACGTTTCAGATTTCCAAAACTGAAAGTTAACTGAAAGTAAAAAGCCTTCTACTTTCAGCCAAGATAGATTAAGTGTCCAGATTCAGTCTCCTGCCTGAAATAAACAAAAGAATAGACAAAAATTAAACAGTTTGCAAGACACTGGAAATAAGAAAGAAAAGACAGATCTCTGAGAGGCACAAAACATAGAAGATGAGCTTTGAGAGTTTTCAGGACCTGGCACAGGAAAGGATACCCACACAGTCATGATGCACTCCCTGAGTTAAGGAGATAAAACTTAGCATCCAGGGACACTAGAGTGGTTAGAATCCTAAGACAGGGTAGCAGATAAAAGAGGACAGAGAAAAAGAACTAAGAAAATCTACAAAAGGCTAGGTGCAGTGGCTCACACCTGTAATCCCGGCACTTTGGGAGGCCATGGCAGGCTGATCACAAGGTCAAGAGATCAAGACCATCCTGACCAACATGGTGAACCCCATCTCTACTAAAAATACAAACATTAGCTAGGTGTGGTGGCACATGCCTGTAATCCCAGGCTGAGGCAGAAGGATCGCTTGAACCTGGGAGGCAGAGATTACGGTGAGCCGAGATCGCACCACTGCACTCCAGCCTGGCAACAGAGTAAGACTGCCTAAAAAAAAAAAAAAAAAAAAGGAAAAAGAAAACCTACAAAGACTCTTGGCTCATTCAGTAGAGTATTGATTAGCACATGTGTCCAAGGAAACTCCCTACGGCTAGTCAAAGAAACACCTGAAAAGATTAGAAGGATGAATATACAGAGCTCACAAAGCTAAGAATAGTTTCTGTTCCCAAAAATCAGATTAAAATCCTTCATTTCATAAAGAAATTGTTACAATACTCAGAAGAGTCTTGCCTCAGTGGTGGGAAATAATTATCACTACACTAAATACTAGTCTGCTCCTATTTAAATCCTAAAAGCAAGACCCAAAAAGATAAAACTGTTTCCAAGTAATTTAACTGTGTCCAAAAATAAAGCTCAACAACATTTATCGAAATACAAAAATATTGGGAGGTGGGGATTGCAGTGGTCCGAGATCGCTCCACTACACTCCAGCCTGGGCAACAAGAGCAAAACTCCATCTCAAAAAAAAAAAAAAAGTCCAGTATTTTAAAAATAAAGTTCACAGTATCTAACATCCAATAAAAATTTACTAGGCATACAAAGAAGCATGGGGGGGGGAGGGAGGGGGGGGAGAGAGAGAGAGAGAGAGAGAGAGTGAGTGTGTGTGTGTGTGTGTGTGTGTGTGTGTGTGTGTGTGTGTCTGTATCTGTCTGTCTGGAGGAATAAGCTTAAAATAGGCCCAGAAATGACATAGATGTCATTAAAACTTTATTGTATAGTAATTGTAACTAAATTCCGTATGTTCAAAAGACTAAAGAAAAGACCGAACATGTTAGGTAAAGATAAGGATGATACAAAAAGATCAAAATTGAACTTCCAGAAATGAAAACTACAATTTATGAGATGAAAATTACACTGCCTGGAATTGACAGCAGGTTAGATACCGCAGAAGACAAAATCAATGAATCTGAAAACATGGCAACAGAAAGTAACCAAAAGGAAGCCCAGAGGCAAAAATACAAAAAATAAATTAATAAACATCAGCAAGCTATGGGAGAACTTTAGTGGTCTAATATTAGAACATAATTAAGAGTCTCCAAAGGAGGTAAAAGAGGAGGTAGAAAATATTTTTAGAAGTAATCTCCAAAAATTTTCTAAATTTGATAAAAACTGTAAAACCAGAGACCTACAGAACTCAAAAAACCCCAAGCACTATAGATATAAAGAAAACTACAAAGTATGACAATAAAATTGCTTAAAACCAGCAATAAAGAGAACAGCAGCCAAAAAACCAGACACAGTACATTACAAAGAACAAAGATAACCTGTGCTCACTACCCTGTAGAGTAATGAGGCTGCACAATACCCAAGCGGCTCCTAATACTACATTTTCAGTTACACCATAGATGCCTCTTGGAAACAGTGCTTTAAATCCTGTAATGGTGTGCACCTCACCATTGGTCTGTGCCACCTAACAGCATACAACAGTTCAAGGGTCTTCTGATCTGAGATCTCTGACAAAGGATCTCTATTTTTATTTTTATTTTTTTTTGAGATGGAGTCTCACTCTATCGCCTAGGCTGGAGTGCAGTGGCGTGATCTCTGCTCACTGCAACCTCCACCTCCCAGGTTCAAGCAATTCTCCCACCTCAGCCCCCACGCTGGAGTGCAGTGGCATGATCTCGACTCACTGCAATCCCTGCCTCCAGGTTCAAGCAATTCTTGTGCCTCACCCTACCCAGTAGCTGAAACAGCAGGCATGCGCCACCACCCCCTGCATGTATATTTTTAATAGAGACAGGGTTTCACCATGTTGGCCAGGCTGGTCAGATGCAAAACTCCTGACCTCAGGTGATCCACACACCTAGGCCTTCCAAAGTTCTAGGATTACAGGCACGAGCCATTGCACCCAGCAGAGTCTTAGACTTATAAAGGAATATTGCCACTACTTGTCTCCAAAGAAACTTGTAAGAATGCTTTATCATACAACAGTCTAGTGTCATTACCTGTTTTAAAATTTATAAAAACAAATCTTTAACATTGCAGCACTTGCTATTTAACAATCTAAAATAAACCAGTCTTTTACAAAGAATACTTTAAGAAGGCAAATATTGCTGTGCCAAAAATTCTTAATTAATGACTGAAACTGAGTATTGTATTTTGATCTGAGCTTCCCAGCAGCCAAAACAAAATGGGAAACCGTATACTGGGTTATATAGTTTTCATTAGCACAAAAAGAGCATATTAATCATTGGTAATTTTCACTTAGTTTTATTAGAATATATCAAATGATCCCCCATATTTAAAAAGGTTTTGCTAAAATGGTACATAGTAACACAATAACAACTACATATACTGACCACTTACCAGATCAAAGCATCATACTTATACTTTTTTTTTTTTTTTTAAAGAGTCAGGGTCTCTCATTGTTACCCAGGGTAAAGTGTGGTGGTGTAATCACGGCTCCCTGAAGCCTCAAACTCCTAAGCTTAAGCAAGTTTCCTGTCTCAGCCTCTTTACTAGCTGGGACTACAGGTGCATGCCACTATGTCAGCCTAATTTATTTTATTTTATTTTTTAGAGACAGAGTCTCACTATGTTACCGAGTCTGGTCTCAAACTCCTAGCCTCAAGTGATCCTCCTGCCTCTGCCTCCCAAAGTGCTCAAGGTGGGAGCCACCATGCTTGGCCTGAACTAACACTTTCTATGCATCGTCTCACTTCATCCTTACAGTCAACCTATGAGCTAAGCACTATTATCATTCCCATTCACTACTGATGTAGAAATGTTCTTTAAATGAGTACCTCCCCTTTTCCTATAAAAGCCAAATAGATGACATTAAATCTCAGAAAAGGCGTTTTTGTAGGCAGACTAGATAATGCATGTATATTTTTTAAATAATCATCTTTCATAAACCTTCATTGAAATATTTCTTGATCTTAGTTGAATTTACTTAACTTTTCTAAACTTACAATTTGCACAAATTGCAAGCATCCATTAAACAAATAGCTAAATTGTTTTAAAATACGTTTACATGTGTAAATGTTTCTTTAGCTTATTTTTGCCAAATAAATATCACATAGAAACTAGATACATTTATCTTAAAAAACAGAGGCCTTACCAGATAAATTATATTTGTGAGCAAACATATGGGAGGTTTTCACATGGAGGAGCATCCAAAGTTACCAACATGGAGGCCACAGGGTGGATGACTTCATTTTAATATGAGAGAGAAATGTTTAACATACTTTAATCCATAAATACAATTGGATCACTTTAAAAGTTCACTAGGTTCTCTAGCACTGAAAGCACTGAAGCAGAGAATGAAGAGAGTCCTGTCTGAAAGACATTCTAAAAATGATTCTGCTTTGGACAGTATATTAGTTTCCTGGGTTGCCATAGTAAAATACCAGAAACTACATGGCTTTAAATAACAGAAGTTTGTTCTTTCACAGTTTTGGAGGCTATTAATCTGAAATCAAGGTGTTGGCAGCCCTTGCTCCCTCTAAAATCTGTAGGGAAGAATCTTGCCTTGCCTCTTTCTAGTTTTTGGAGCACTTCAATCTCTGCCTCCACCATCACATAGTGTTCCCCTCAGCGCCATTTGTCACCATCTCTCTTCTCCTCTTTAAGGACACCAGTAATATTGAGTTAAAGGCCCATCATACTCCAATATGACCTCATCAACTTAACTAAGTACATCTGTAATGACCCTACATCCAAATAAGGTCACATTCTGAGATAGTAGGAGTTAGGACTTCAACATATCCTGGTTGGGAATACGACTCAACCCATAACAGATTTAAAGAAAAACTAGAAGATTACCAACTCTAAGATGCTGAGGCTCTAGGTACGTTTGACATAGAAAGTGCAATATATGAACAACAATTCCACTCCATTCATTTATTTCCAATTTTCATGTCATTTATCCAACAAATAGGTGTTTGCTAGGCATTATACTAAACACTGAAGACACACTTAAAAAAAGTCCCTGCCCTCATGGAGCCTGAATTCAAATAAACATGTCATCATTTGTGAATATTTACTATGTGCCCTTATGGTAGTAAAAATGTAGATGTTATCTTACTACACCTCACAGCCCTTAAGCAGATTCTTTTACCCCTTTTACCACATGAGAAAACTAGACATAGAGACATAGTTTTTGAAGGTATCATCTTCTGGAAGAATTGACCTTTTTTTCATTATAAAACATCATTTTTTATCTTTAGTGATACTCTTTGTCTGGAATTCTTTTATATCAGGTATTATTATAGCTACTTCAGCCTTCTGGATATACTTTACTTACTTTCTGGATGTGCTTGGTACAAATAATCACGTTTAGATGTCACTCTCACGAAATACAATAATTAAATTTGCAATACCTGAAGAATCTCTTGGGTTCAGCATTCACAGATTCCATTCATACAACAGATTCTCAATTTTTGCAAAACAAATTAATGCACTGATTCTATAGGCTTAAATTACATTTCCCTCTTCAATTTACATTTCGGAGGTTAAATGTCCCAAATATACCTAGGAGTGAAACAGTGAGCATAGTGGAGTCTCCAAGCCAGGCTTAGAGGTGTTCCCAGCAATGGTAGATTTCAAGAAGTTATTGAATGACAAACTTACAAGGCTTCTGTCAAAGGATATCTAAGAGTTGGGTGATATGCCAGACTACGTGACTTGAAAGATGCTTTCTTACTCTATGAACTTCTGACTCTAATATTAACAATACCTTACCATTTATACCAAGCAGATTGTTAGGCAGAAATAAATAGCTGGTGCTCTTCAGAACTTACGTAATTACAGAAAAATACCATTTGTGAGAACCTACTAATTTGAAATTTATAGGAAATTTAACTGGAGTTAAAGTCTGGTTTTGCTGAATAGTGTGAAAATAATCTAAAGAAGCTGTACTTCGGCCAGGCATGGTGGCTCACGCCTATAATCCCAGCACTTTGGGAGGCCAAGGCTGGCAGGTGTGGACGTCAAGAGATCGAGATCATCCTGCTCAACAAGGTGAAACCCCGACTCTACTAAAAATACAAAAATTAGCTGGGCGTGGTGGCACACACCTCTAGTTCCAGTTATTCAGGAGGCTGAGACAAGAGAATCCCTTGAACCTAGGAGGCAGAGGCTGCAGTGAGCTGAGATCGTGCCACTAAACTCTAGCCTGTTTGTAAAGCAAAAGATAGTTGGCTCTGAAGTACTTCAGCACTTCAGTACTTTTGCCAACTATCTTTTGCTTTACAAACCCATTTGCTTTACAATGTACACATAGATTATATGCACATACTGTTTTTATGGTCTCTTTTAAGAAGCTCCTTAATAACAGCTAAGTCTTTTTTAGCTTACTTTCAGTTATAATGCATATATAAACATTAGTAAATATTTCTTTTAAAAAATTAGTTAATTCTAATTTTTATCAATTCAAACTCACTTCTTCCCTTGTTCTTAATAGTAAAATATTATTCATATCAGAATAGTAATATAATACCAACTTACATAAAATAACAGTTTCATGGCTACCTTATATGGTAGCTAACATTCTAAAATATTTGAAGGAAGATTAAACTGTACCACTTGGAGATACAGCAAAGTAATCATTAAGGATATAGACAGAAATTACCAAATTCACCAAAACTATTTACTTCCATTATGTATCTGACTACTTTCATACTAACTCAAATGTATTTTCTCACCTGCAGTTTCATTTCTTCTAAGTCTTTAGTTTTCTCTACTAATTCTTCTCTTAGTTCTTGAAGGAGCAGCTGAAGTTTTTCCTGGTGAATTTGCTTTTCATTTAACAGGTGCTTGAGTTCATTTTGTGACTTTACATATTCATTCTGCAACCTGATTTTTAAAAATAGAATTCAATTTTGAGTAAATCCTTTCTTTCTAACTGCATGACTTTATGTAAAGTCAATCAACACTACAGAAAAACAAGACCAATATCACAAATTCCTTTAAACCTACAAATATCTTTTCTTTACAGAGTTTCATTTAATTATTAACACTGTAGCTTTGGGATGCAATTTTACCTTGGTGGGAAATGGGGAGCACATTTAGCCATCTGGATACATTTAATTTAACAGGACTCGCCACTTTCAGAATAAGACTTATAAATTTATAATCCACTCGATACCATATTTAGTTTGCAACAAAATAACTTTGAAGTGAAAATTTTACTATATTAAAAAAGTTTTAAATGTATACATTGCAAAATAAGAAAATTATACTATATTCTATAGGAAACATTCAGCCAAGATAATTCCAATAATGTTTTTAAACCAAAACTCACACTTCTAGATTTAAGTAATTTACCTTGTGTGTTCGGCTTTCAGAGTCTGATAATTAGCTTTATGGTGCTCACATCGTAACCTTTCATCAATTAACATTTTCTGGAACTCCGACTGAGAACCTGTCAATCCACTGTCTCCACCAGGAGGCAAATTATTGGGAAAAGTGTCCATATCGGTAAATGTGCTGACAACCATGTAAAAATAAGTTTTGGCTTTCTTATTATTTTAGTTTTCTGTCCAAGAGTATCTCCCACTCCTTTCTTGCTAAGGTAGAATCTCAGGAGGCCAAATTATACCTGCACAGAGAAATAAACATAGTTTGCAATCAGTAAACATAAGCTTCCTTTAGTGATATTTTTTATCACTTTTATTATTCTCCTTATCTTCTTTTTTTTTTTTTTTTTTTTTTTTTTTGAGAAGGAGTCTCACTCTGTTACCCAGGCTGGAGTGCAATGCTGCCATCTCAGCTCACTGCAACCTCCACCTCCAGGATTCAAGAGATTATCCTGTCTCAACTTCCTGAGTAGCCAGGATTACAGGTACCTACCACTATGCCCGGCTAATTTTTTTATTTTTAGTGGAGATGGGGTTTCACCATGCTGGCCAGGCTGGTCTCGAAATCCCGACCTCAGGCGATCCACTCACCTTGGCCTCTCAAAGTGCTGGCATTACAGGCGTGAGCCACTGTGCCCAGCCTCTCCTTATTTTTATTACAAAGCCCAATTTTCAGATTTTAATTGTTCATAAAACAAAATGCAAATATAAAGCTGAATTGCGCCTTGAAAAATTTTCATTTCCATTCAGCTTCTGTGACCATCAAAATCACATCTTCAAGTATTCACCTAGTTCCACTAGAACCATAGACTCTTCCCTTTTAGGGAGTTTTTTTTTTCCCTCATGTCCTTTTTCCTTTGACCTTCCTAGATTCCACTCCGCCTCCCACCATCACTCCACCTCTCCACACTTGGCCTGTCACTGCCATGTTCCTTTTCCTCCTTCACCTCTCCACCCCTTCTACCAAAAGTGTCCAGTTACTATCACTCTGCCCGGTTCTAGCCACTTCATAAGCTTTCCAGTGGCTCATCTGTTGGCCTTCCACTCTTCCTTCATAATGAGAATATTATAATTGTTTTTAATAATTCTTAAGAATATCACAGTGTTACCTCATTCATCATCTGATTATCTCTCTAACCCTTCATACTCTCTTCCAGCAACACTGATCAATTTTTATTTCTCATGCTGGCTCCTAACCCTTGCCCATGCAATTCTTTATGTTTAAAATATTCTCCTTTCTACTTTCATTTACCTGGGCATGCATCCAACTCCAGTTCACTTTTGACATCTTGCATAGATATCTCTTTGTGTAGGAACACTGGTTTGAATGTCCTTCCTACGTCTTCACATTCCTACAGACTTCTCTCTCAGATGACTTACCGCTATATTGTTTTATTTCTTTATTCTTATATTTTATTGCGTTTTAGGTTTTGGGGCACATGTGAAGAACATGCAAGATTGCTGCATATGTATATACATGGCAATGTGGTTTGCTGCCTTCTTCCCCATCACCTATATGTGACATTTCTCCCCATTTTATCCCTCCCAACTCCCCCCATCACTCCCCTAGTTCCCCCCCACAGACCCCAATGTGTGATGCTCCCCTCCCTGTGTCCATGTGTTCTCATTGTTCAACATCCGCCTATGAATGAGAACATGCAGTGTTTGATTTTCTGTTCTTGCGTCAGTTTGCTATGTCTTTTGATTGGGGCATTTAGCCCATTTACATTTAGGGTTAATATTGTTATGTGTGAATTTGATCCTGCCATTTTGATGCTAGCTGGTTGTTTTGCCTGTTAGTTGATGCAGTTTCTTCATTATGTCGATACTCTACCATTTGGTGCGTTTTTGGAGCAGCTGGTACTGGTTGTTCCTTTCTGTTTAGTGCTTCTTTCAGGAGCTCTTGTAAAGCAGGCCTGGTGGTGATGAAACCTCTGAGTAATTAATTGCTTGTTCATAAAGGATTTTACTGCTCCTTCACTTACAAAACTTAGTTTAGCTGGATATGAAATCCTAGGTAGAAAGTTCTTTTCTTTAAGGATGCTGAATACTGGCCCCCACTCTCTTCTGGCTTGTAGGCTGCTGAGAGATCCACTGTGAGTCTGATGGGCTTCCCTTGGTGGGTAATCCGACCTTTCTCTCTGGCTGCCCGTAGCATTTTCTCCTTCATTTCAACCCTGGTGAATCTGACAATTATGTGCGTTGAGGTTGCTCTTCTTGAGGGACATATTTGTGATGTTCTCTGTATTTCCTGGACTTGAATATTGGCCTGCCTTGCTAGGTTGGGGTAATTTTCCTGGATATTCTGAAGAGTGTGTTCCAGCTTGGCTTCATTCGCTCCGTCACATTCAGGTATACCTATCAAACGTACATTAGGTCTTTTCACATAATCCCATATTTCTTGGAGGCTTTTTTTGTTTCTTTTTACTCTTTCTTCTCTAATCTTGCCTTCTCGTTTTATTTCACTGAGTTCATCTTCGATCTCTGATATCCTTTCTTCTGCTTGGTCAATTTGGCTATTGAAACTTGTGTATGCTTTGCGAAGTTCTCATGTTGCGTTTTTCAGTTCAATCAATTCATTTATGTTCCTCTCTAAGCTGTTTATTCTTGTTAGCATTTCATCAAACCTTTTTTCAAGGTTCTTAGTTTCTTTGCATTGGGATAGAACATGTTCTTTTAGCTCAGATAAGTTTATTATCCACCTTCTGAAGCCTGTTTCTGTTAATTCATCAGACTCCTTCTCCATCCAGCCTTGTTCCCTTGCTGATGAGGAGCTGTGATCCCTTGCAGGAAGAGAGGCATTCTGGTTTTGGGTGTTTTCATTCTTTTTGGCTGGTTTGCTTTCATCTTTGTGGATTTATTTACCTGTGGTCTTTGTAGTGAGTGACTTTCAGATGGGGTCTCTGAGTGGACATCCTGTTTGTTGATGATGAAGTTATTTCTTTCTGTTTCTTAGTTTTTCTTCTAACAGTCAAGGCCCCTCTGCTGTAGGACTGCTAGAGGTCCACTCCAGACCCTGCTTGCCTGGGGCTCACCTGCAGTGGCTGCAAAACAGTGAGGGTTGCTGCCAGTTTCTTCTTCTGCTATCTTCGTCCCAGAGGATACCTGCCAGATGTAAGTCTGAGCTCTCCTTTATGAGTTGACTCTTTGGATATATGGGGGTTGGGGAGCTACTTGAGGAGACAATCTGTCCTCATAGGAGCTAGAGTGCTAATAAGCTGTGAGCTCTGTTTCTCCATTCAGAGCTGCTGGGCAGGTACATTTAAGTCTGCTGCAGCAGAACTCATAACAGCCTTTTTTTCCCCAGGTGCTCTGTCCCAGGAAGGTAGGGCTTTATTTATAAGTTTCTGTCGTGCTGCCGCCTTTTTTCAGGGATGCCCTGCCCCGCGAGGAGACAGCCTAGTCACACTCTGCCAGCAGAGGCGTTGCTGATCTGCTGTGGGCTCCACCCAGCTGCCGTGTGAACTTCCATGCAGTCCTGTTTATAGGGGTATAGTTAGAACTGCCTCAGCAATGGCAGACTGCCTTAGCAATGGTGGACTACCTCAGTAGTGGTGGTCTGCCTCAGTAATGGCGGACACCTCTCCTCCACAGAGCTGGGCTGCCCCCGGATTCAGCTGTCCTTGCTGTGAAACTCTCAATCCAGAGCGTTTCAGATTGCTGGTGTTTGTGGGGATGGGACCGGCCGTGCCTGATCACCTGGCTCCCTGCCTCAGACCCCCTTTTTTTTATTCAGCTGAACAGGCAACTCTGTCTCCCAAGCATTCCAGTCACCAGTTCAAACAGTGTCCAGATTTGTGTGAATTCTTGTGCAGAGACCTGCTGTGCCGGCGGAAACAGCCATGCTGGGGGCTCGCGGCACTTTTTCGCCTGGGAATCTCTTGGCCTGGCTCCCTGTTTCAGTCCCCTTTTTTTCAGTTGAATGGGCGACTCTGTCTCCCAGGTGTTCCAGTTGCCAGATTTGTGAGATTTTGTGCGGAGACCCGCTGCGCCGGCTGTGCTGGAGGTGCTTTTCCACCCAGGAATCTCCTGGCCTGACTTCCTGTTTCAGTCCCCTTTTCATCAGCTGAATGGGCGACTCTGTCTCCCAGGCATTCCAGTCGCCTGTTGAAAAGGCACCCAGATTTGTGTGAGATTTTGTGTGGAGACTCGCTGTGCCAGCTGAAACAGCCGCGCTGGAGACTAATGGCACTTTTTCACCCGGGAATCTCCTGGCCTGGCTCCCTATTTCAGTCCCCTTTTTATCAGTTGAACAGGCAACTCTGTCTCCCAGGTGCTCAAGTCACCAGCTGAAACGGGGCCTGGACCCGTGTGAGTTTTTTGAGTGGAGAGCCGCGCTGGAGACCTGTGACACTCCTCCATCTGGGAATCTCCTGGTCTGTGGGCAATAAAAATCTGTCTGGAAATGCAGCAATCACTTACCCTCCACGCACTCACTGGGAGCTGCCATCCAGAGCTGCTCCTACTCAGCCATCTTGGATCCCCTAACTCTCATTTAGGTAGTCTTAAATTTACAAACCAGAGTCATGTTTCCTAAAGCTACTGCAGTAAGCTTCAAGTGTATATTCTGGTACAAAATTCATATTCCCTAATCAGGTTAAAACCCATTGGAACTTGGTAGCTGCCTGGGGAGAATCAAGGTCTTCAAAAGGTGACCTTCGGCACATAACTATGTCTATGATTAACACTTTGAAGGGTCTTTTATTTGACACAAGGCAAGCTGCAACCAGCCTGCAGATTCTGATGAGAAGTTAGTCAACACATAAATACTGATCAACTCCTATGTGTTATACACTGCAGTAAGAACAGAAAACTAAATCATCTCACCTATCTCCAAAAGCACTGACCCAGTATTATGAAAATCACTGTTTATTTCATCTAGAAGTAAAAAAATGATGTTTTAAAGTGTTCTTATAACTAAGAACAAAAATTTTAATTACAATAGTTCTGTCTCCTTTAACTTCATTACTCTTTCTCTAGTCCCCATTATACACATATTTTTTTTCCTGATAGAATCTTCCTTAGTCATGGGTCTTTACAAATCACTTCTTATAACAAAAAAATATATTTGCCCTATGCAAATCAGCCATTAAATTACTGTCTTGCTTGAATTATAACATCTCTGATAAATTAGTGTGATATCTATGTATTACTTAATACAATTTTTAAACTATAATTGCAGTTGCTTTGGTTTCCTCTGAAATTATATTTTAATGGGGGGGGGAGCCCCTGAAGAACACTA